TCTTGGTACCTTTAGGACAAGAACTTCTGGTACTTTTCGGGTTATTCGAGAAAAATCATTGAATGGAAGTACAGGTGCACAGTGTCTTCGAGAAGCCTATTTAGGCTTCGAAGACACTCAAGCGTCTTTTGGAATTTTCAGTGTGCCTGAATATTTCTGATAAGTTTTCGAGGATTCTAAACGTTGTTGGCAATCGTTGAAACTGTTAAGTGAGACTATAAATAAAGCATGCTGTTCAATTCCTTGAAAATGATTTACATGGGGTAAATATTTGTTTGGCTGGATCGCAGGTCTGTTTATTTGTTTCAGAATAAGTCGATAACTACCACACGAGGGGTCTTGGTTTCCGTTTGTACGGCAAGTGTTGTGGGTAATGTGAAGATTAAGATGATATTGCTCATAGTCAGTGGTATAGGTGCATGTAAACACATGCGTCATCTTTTGACTCTAAGATATCTTTTTCTTTCTTACTTTTTCCTACTTTGACCATTTACATCCTTACCCACTTTTCTCAAAGTTGACCACTGACACAAATTTGTAGAATTATATGACATCCCTTAATTTTTTGAAAAGAAATTCAATCAGTCAAATTGATATATAGATTTATTTGTTTCTGTTTTGGTGATGTTTGTCAGTTGTCCCTTAGTTCAGTTGCTCAACCTTCAAGTATTAAATATGGGGTTAGAAAGTATTTCTTCCCAACCTGGTTTCCCAAATCAGTAGTATCTTCAGGTCTGACTCCAGAGGTATGATGCGTAAAGTAGTAAATCAACATACAAGATTGTTAGGCTGCTTAAAACTACGCTTATGCCTATTTTTATATTCTTAGGTGGTACAATAACCACATGTACTTGGTTATGGAGTTCTACGTAAGCTGAATTAGTATTAATCCGTGGTCCAAAATTGGTTTGGATTTATCTTCGGAATAGTAACATTAGACATAAATTCAACTGTTAAACATTAGTTTTGCCCACATAATGATAAGCTAACTAATTGTGGTGGTATGTAATGCCGAAGTAGTGGCTAGTAGATATCTAAACAATAAGTGATAGTCTGGACTTTATCCCACCATAGAAGGTGAGCATACTGCCCTTGTGACCCTGCTGGTCTTTTCCCATACTTTGATTTCTGATTTTGACTTTTTTTTGTGCTGATGCAATACCATAACAGGTTATTTTCTAGCCTCGCTATGAGATTGAGAGTTATTTTAGTCGGAATGCCATGATAAAATTTTTCTTCATTTTGTATCACTTCATTTCAAATATCCATCCATCCAAATCAACATACGATCAGGTCCGAGTTGCCGCACCTCATCGTATCAGTACATAAAGTAAAGAGGTAGTGAAGTGGAAAATGGAGATTAGAAAATTCATTAGAAAGAAATACAAAGTACGAAAAGAGAGAAAGGAAGAATGAGAAAACGGTGAGATTCATTATGGCATCGTTAAGATGAGGATAGTGTGTGTATACATCTGCGCCACTCACATCGTTCCTGTGCCATATCGCCTAGTCAGTCCCCAACCACTGGTTTCGCTTATCCCGTGGACCCCAACCACCTAGTCTGCATCACCCCACGTGGCTCAATCCAGCAGTCAAACACTTTATACATTCATGCAATGTTTTGGTCTGGCTCCCTCAAGCCATCTCTCAGCCTGGATCTACTTCAGGCATTCGGTGACCAGGCATATGTAACACGTGTTCCACCCAGCCATCTCAATCGATGAAGGTTTATAACCTCGTCAACTGACCTACCGCTTCTCCCCAAAACTCTACTCCTGATTTCTGCGTTACCCACCTGGTGACACCACAAAACACGGCCCATACTACGAAAGCAACGGTATTCAAACACCTGAAACCTTCTCATGTCTTCCACCTTCAACGGCCATGTTTCACAGTAGAACAGAGGGTACTGATGTGCAGTACACGCGACCCTTAATAGACAATCGGATATCATGGTGGCGCCACAGGTAGCATAATTTGGCGAAACCCAGCAGAGCCTTCTGTGCCAGTGCAGAGATTTCATCGGCCACTGAACCACCAGGGCTGATCCCACTTCACTTCCCAGGTAAGTGAAGTGGTCAACACTCACTATCGTTAACCGAGGCACCATTGAAGACGAATCCTGGAGCAACAATTTGCATTTGGGTGGTGAGAAATGCATCCCAAACATTCTCAGATTGCCACTCAGTGTTCAGAAGACTCTGCATCTTGTCAGCGTCTTCACCTAACAGGACTATGTCATCTGTGTATTCTAGGTATAACGAAAATTCTCTTGCGATTAGGTCAACCTCTGTGTGTGTAGTCAGGTGACGAGAGGGAGACCTCCATAAAATTATCTATGATAAAATTGAATAAGAGTGGGGGCAGTTAGCACCCTTGATGGACACCACTTGACGAGTACAGCTCCCCGGATATCTCACTGCAGGCTCAAACACGCCCACAAGTCTTCAAGTAGAGAGCCTTCAATAAGGTGATGTATTTATTCTACACGCCTTTCAATGAGACATTGTCATAAGACTTCTGGATCATTTTAAAGGGCTGACAAGTGTTAATATTATTGAAAATCAACTCGTTGACAGAAATATTTGCATAAATTGACATAGCTTCTTCTCAGGAGTCGCAGTTGTGGTTGGTGGCGAAGCGAGAGAGATGGGGAAGATATCGACATTAGGTAATACCTCAATTACTTACTTTAATTAAATATACCGACAAGAAAAGGATGGTGACTGAAATAATCACCGATGAGGATGGTACCTTTATAAGATTTCAGAATAAATGACTAGAACGTTGGGCAGAACAGTGCACAGTTTAACTAGCCCACTGCTATACTTTAGTTGCCTAGCATCCGGCCGGAACCAGGATGGGATATAGATGTTTACCCTCCAACTGTCCTCGAAGTTGAGAAGGCTGTTTAAAGCCAGAAACAATGGAAAGCATCAGGACCTGACGGTTTGCCACCTGAAGTTTCTAAAGATGGAGGTAGGAAATTGTTGGTTGGAGTAAAGGAGGTACTAGCCAGTGTATGGGAATCAGAGTTATTCCTGTAGAGTTGATCGTCCTAGTCTATAAGACTGCTTAAAAGTCTCGTGGCAGACATATTGAAATCAGTTCGACTAACATCGTACCCAAGATCCTAGGATCCATAGTTATCGGACGCTTTATTGGAGCCCGAGAACAAACTTGAGAAAACCAGTCAGGTTTCAAACCTGAATGAGGGTGCATCAGTCATATTTTCCCTCACCGACAGGTTCCGGAACACAAAGATACCCATTGGGAGCCGACACTTGCCATATTCCCTAACATAAAGGCATCGTTCGACTCCGTTTACCGTAAGGTGTTCGACCCCTGACGACGTCATGGGTGTGCACTGCTGAGGAGTTCCATTCTGGGACGAGAAAGTTGTCCAGTGCTCCGAGGTTTCCGATAGTTACTAAACTGTTGTCAGTTCGTGATAAATACCAACCTGAAATATTCTTTGCAGTATATTTATTTCTGCTGAAACCCGACAGCATGTATGATAGTATGTGTCGCAAAACCTGTAGCAAATAAATTGCCCACTTACTTTTCATCATTTTTCTTCTTGTTTTCACTTCACGAATGAACAGATAACATCAGTCGGCTGCTGTGATTCTGCTCAAACAACCTTATATTTCTGGGGAGCACGAACTTCAGAAATAAGGGAAGACATTATCTGACGTGGCGTACACCAACCCAAACTCAGCGGTGGACATAGATATACCACACTCCCATCAGTTAACTCTAGAGGCTACCAGTTAGAGATTATCACTCTTTATTGAGCTCGCTTTTTGACAGTGATCATGCATTGGTTTGAGCACGTATGTATGTGTGCCCAAAGGGATGCAGAATTGCTACAGCAAGAAGACCATTGTAAGTGCAGAACACTTTAGATGCTTTCAGTGAGAAGCTGTAAAGAATTATCGGAATAGGACAACATCATTTATCTAGGAGAAGACCGTGGGAACCTGCAGTCTGCTGCGAAGACAGCGTTGAAGACCTTGGTCAACTATCAGGGAGTAGTTAGAAAGGGTCAGTGGGTCTGAGCAACTTCCAAATTAACTATTGAACATAAGTACATCTCTGAAGGCTCTGATCACAATGAGGAGTGGAAGCAACTCAAATGTAGACTGACAAGAGTTTCACGTCATGAATGGAAACAGTGGTGGGCGGGGAAGGGTAAAGACATTGAAATTTTTATCGGTGGTAGTTAACAGTAGACGGTTACGTAGACTTATTAGGGAAAATGTGAGTAGTGACTAGTGAGCCTATAGCAGATTAAAATGTGTTTTTGGGTCATTCATGGAAGAGACATCTGGAACGATGGGCAGAAAACCTCAAGGAACAGTTCAATTGGCTTCAAGCTACCCTTCAGTTGCCCGCTATCCAGTAGAATTGAGTGGAACATTGAGATAGGACTATCGACATTTCCTTAAGTCAAAAAGGCTGAAAGTAGCGTGAAATGTGGAAGGGCATCAGGATTAATTAGGTTAGTACTGGAGGTATTTAAGGACGTTATTAGGATATTATTTGTGAGGTTAACTGAAGTGTTGAGTAGTGTATAGTAGTTAGATGTGACCACTGACTGGTGTCACTCAATGGTTGTCCGAGTCTTCAAGAAAGGTGGCAAGTCATCTTGTGATAACTAAAGTGTGATCAAAGTGACGAATATAGTGTCTAAAATTTTAATTTCTGTTATCATTAAGCTCCTGAGTGAAGCTCAGGAACAGCAACGTGAGGGAAAGCAGACATATTTTAACTTTTGTTTTAGACCTATCAGCTAAATATTCACGATCCGCCAGGTTCTGGAACACAAGCACGTTTATCGAAGCCCGACAGTGCTGCATTTATTGAGCTGAAGACTGCATTTGATTCCCTTGATCGCAAGATCTTATGGCCATGTTTCTCACTGAAAGAAGTGGCAGATGAGTAAATCACCATGTTGAAGGATGTGTACTTGAACATCCGTTGGTGAGTTAGAACCTATGGAGAGTTACCAGGTAAGTTGTGTACGTTGAGTGGTATTCATCAAGTATTTACACTCCATTCCTATTCAACCTTATCATAGATATACTTATGAAGGTCCCCTGTTGTCGTTTGACGTTATATGGAGTAACCTTGTCACAGGTAAATTCTTTGTAGATCTTGAGTACGCAGATGACAGACCTGCTAGGCTAAGACACTGAAAAGATTCAGAGTCTTGTGGAGACCTTGACTGGCAATTTGAGAATGTTTGGGATGCATTTCTCGCCACTGAGATGCAAATTGTTGCTACAAGACTGGTGTTCAGTGGTACCCTGTGTAGCAGTAGGGAGTGAAATGGTTGAGCGTGTGGACCACGTCACTTACTTGAGAAGTCATATCAGCCATGGTGGGATGGCTGATGAAATCTCAGCCTGTCTATAAAAGGCTCGGTCGGCTCTTACCAACTAACTCCACTTATGGCGCTGCCGTGTTATGCTATTGTCCATTAAGGGTGGACTGTACCACGGTGCAATTCGCTATGTTCTACTATATGGCTGTGAAACATGACCACTGGAAGTAGAGGATATAAGAAGGCTTCGGGTGTTCGACTAGCGTTGCTTTTGTAGTAGTGGCCGTTTGTTGTGTTATCACCACGTCAGTAATGTCGAGGTCAGGAGTAGGGAATTCCGTCGATGAGCTTTTCGGCATTCAGCAACTGAGGTGGTCCGAATATGTGTCACACATGCCAAGTCACCGTCTACCTCGTCGCACATGATTAACTGTAGTAGGTTTAAACTAGAAAAAAGTTAGGAGCGGCCAGACTAAACATGGCAACTATGCATGAAGTCTTTGACTGTTGGTCTAAGCCATTTAGTGAAACGTAGACTGCTCGGTTATAGTCCATGCAACAACAGAAACTAGTGGTTGTACGCTTAGTAACATGGCTCACAATCGATCTCAATGGTGTAGATGTATCTATGCATTATCATCACTCCCTTTACTTCTTTATCTTTCATGATAATACTGTCTTGCTTGATGTGATAGAATGAGATACGGCAACTTTAACCCCTAGGTAGTAATGCCTGGTCTCATGTTCATCTTTTCTGTTTGTTTTCCCCTTCATGAATTCTACTAAGTACAGACCTTGGTTTCTTAAAACATTGTCGAACAACACAGTAATAATATAATTCCTATACCAAAGATTATCTTCAAGTATCCTAATTGTATCCACTGAAGGATCCATTAAAATTCCCCTTCTCATTTTCATTCTTTTCAGCCTCTTTTTGGCTAAGTGACCTTCTGCTTTCCGTCAGATAGTCTCCCTTTATTGATATGGATTGAAGGAATTACAGTTACAGTGTCGTAGTATTATACTGTAGCTTAATTGAGCACGATTGTTTCAAGTTTTTCATCTGGTGTACTTAAAATACATTCTATCATCAATCATATTTTGTCGACTACTATTCGCGTAGGTTTCTTTGATTTTCGTGGATATCTCATCTTTTTATTGTTTTGTTAACTCTATTTTTTAACAAATTATCCATTATGTTGTAATGGATCGCATTTACTCTTTTAAACTGAAAGCCTTTTTGTATTTCTGTGAAACTATTTATTATTGGATGTAATTAGAGTTGATACTAGAGAATTGGATCATTTGGAATGAGGAACATGAACCTGTTGACATTTTTAAGGATAGTTAGTAGATGTACAGCCTAAGGATTACTCAAGCCCACATAAATAAGTATAATATGAACTCATTTGACAGATTTCGACTGACCTCTTCAATGAAGTTGAATAAGGCACATTGTTGTATCTTTTACACTGCCATTTGAATTCTATCCATTAGGTTTGCTGTATGTATATTGAGCTACATTGATCTGCAAGCGAAAACTAACAAGTTGGCAGAAGAGGCAAGGCAGCTAAGACTACACTTCCTTCAGGTGAACTTAGAGAAGACACAGGTGATGAAGATACCCAGCCAACAACAACAAGCACCGATCACCATCAACGCGAGAAGTCTGATGGAAATTGTCTCTTTCGCTTACCTACCTAGGCAGCATCTTTTCAACTATAGGCGGACGTACAGATGAGGGTGTCAAAACCAGGATTGGAAAAACAAGACAGCCCTTTATTAATCTGAAATCGTTGTGGAGATCTACTGCACTCAACTCAGCACAAAGAACAAGATCCAGATTTTCAAGACTAATGTCAGTCAAGTCAGTGCTTCCGTATGATAGTTGAGAGACTTGACGCATTAAGAAAAGCATATCCGACAAACTGCAAACATACATGATCAACGGCTGCCGCCTACGCTCACTGGATGCTGAAAATCGGATAAGAAGGCGAGAACGAATAGGTAACAAGGAACTCTGGCCTGACAACGAACCAACCAACTGAGAACGTATCGCCCAATAAATATGCAAGAGAAACTGGAGATGGATTGGATTGGACATAAAGTGAGAAGATTGTTTGGGGACATTACGCGTCAGGCCAGGCCAGGCCAGGCCAAATGAGAAACGACGAGTTGGGGGTGTGAGGGTGACATGGAGGAGATGGTGTGAGGAAGCTATAAAAGCTTCTAGGGAGTCGTAGAGCCAGGTGGGAAGGACTTTTGAGAAGAGAGTGGAATGGCAACGTGCAACTGAAGCCGTATGTTCCACTAAGAACCCAGGGGACAAATAATATGATAATACTAACAGTGAGCTAAGTGACTTGGCATCTATCACTGTACATTCTAACATTGTGTTCTTAAGGCATAACTCCATACGTTATCCTTGGAGTAAATTTAACTCATGCACTTGGGTTTGTTTGTAGTGTTTGATTCGCTTTTGTTTTTTTTCATTATTTCGACGTATTTTCTTTTCCTCTGTATAATTTTCTTACTTAAAATGCTTTTAAATACAAGTTATTGTCAATTGAACAAACATTTCCACCTCAGATGACTATTGATCACCGTTACAACAGAAGCAGATAGTCTTTTAGCCTAACATGAATCTTATATGCGTCTGTAACGTTCCTTTAGTAAAGATCGAAACCCCACGTTAACCATTACTTTAGCCATTGATGTTACCATTGAGCAGTTTTAATCAATAGAATTCTCTTATTAATTGAAGTTAGACAAAATGATATTGACTGTTCTCTGATGACCAGTCAGTGTATAACAAATCGTCAGTCTTCTAATAGAATGATTATATCTACTTTCTTGTTATCACTGTTGTTTAGATACTTCCTTTTACAATGTATACTGAAGAAACATATTCTTTTCAACAATTCCATGATGGTTACAATGGTGATAATAATAATAATAATCACGACAACAATCAACAGTTGCTTATTCACCAACCCATTAACGTGGAAGATTACCTCAAAGAAAATCAGATGTTAAAATTAAAAATTTCAGAAATCTCTAAACTCTTTGAAGTGAATGAAATCAATTTCAGTCATCGTTTAGGGTAAGGATTATTCCATAGGAAATTTTTTTCATTTTTTACTTCAAGTTGTTATTCATCGTAGACTGACATCAGTTGGAGGAACAAAGGAAACCTGGGAGCACTTGACAGCTGTTTCGTCCTATTGTGGGACTCCTCAGCAGTGCGCACCCACGACCCCACCAGCAGGGGTCGAACCCGCGACCTTCAGGTTCCGCGACCGTGGTGCGGTCGTGGGTGCGCACTGCTGAGGAGTCCTATACTAGGACGAAACAGCTGTCCAGTGCTCCCAGGTTTCCTTTGTTCCTCCAACTGATGTCAGTCTACGATGAATAACAACTTGAAATAATTCCAAATTTCCGCAACTCCCTCATTTTTTACTATTATTAAATAAATATATTCCCATATTAGCGAACTGTTGTTTAATTTGTTTTGTAATGTGGAGAGAATTTGGATTTCGTCGATGACTTATGTCTAATGTCACACAAACTTGAAGATGTACAGGCGAAAACTAACAAGTTGACAGAAAAGGCAAGGTAGTGAAGACGGGACTTCAAGTGAACGTAGAGAAGACAGAGATGATGATGATGATACCCAACCAACACCAGCATCAACGGGAGGAACTTAAAGGAAGTAGCATGTTTCACCTGCACCTACCTACGCAGCATAGTTTCAACTACAGACGGCGGCACAGACGAGGACGTCAAAGTCATGATCGAAAAAGCAAGACAGGCGTTTATTAACCTGAAACCAGTGTGGAGATCTTCTGCACTCAGCATATAGAACAGTATCCGGATTTTCAACACTCATGTCAGTCAAGTCAGGGCTTCTGTATGGCTCAGAGACTTGGCGCGTTCAAAAAGGATTTCCAACAAACTACAGACATTCATCAACAACTGCCTACGCTGTCTCATTACTGAAGCTCAGATGGCCAGAAAGAATAAAGAACAAGGAACTCTGGCAACGAACCAACCAAGAAGGTATCGCTCAAGAAATATGCAGTTGAAGGAAGTGGAGATGGATTGGGCATACACTGAGAAGGCCGACTGGGGACATCACGCGACAGGCCAACACTCGAGTGGAACCCAGATGGGAAGCGACGAGTTGGGCATCTGAGTCGAGGGTGACATGGAGGAGATGGTGTGAGGAGGAAATGAGAGCTTGTGGGCTGTCGTGGAGCCAGGTTCAAAAGTTTGCAGAGAGGGGAGTGTACTGTAGACATGCTACTGAAGCCCTATGTTCTACTAGGAACCCAAGGGACAAATAATAATAATGTGAAGAGAATTTAAAAATGTACAAATTTTTACCTCCGATTCATTAAGTTCTTTAGTTCACCATTCTTGGTGTACCTAACTGCTAATATCGAACTAATAGTGATGGAAATAAGATGAGATTCTCTTCATGGTGCAGTTTACTAAATAGAAGAATTTGGAGAGGTAAACGTGCACTGTATTTGGTGTACTATACGCCCACCTCCAAGTCTCACAGTGGATAGCTAACTAATTAACTATGGTAATTTGCTTGGTTGTGGCTAGCAGAAGAATCCAGGAGAAGGGACGTGTCGTTCTATTTTGGACTGGTCAGGTGGATGTTGTACAAAGAACCTCATACCCATCTCCTAGACACAACCAATTACATTAACATAATTAACATTCAGTCAGTATCGAGGACCCCTCATAGGAGCCCATATTCCAATAGCGGTTAAGCAATTCGACCGAATGAAACAACAAAGAGCTACAAGTACATCAATGAGTAGTAATAACTAACTAACTGTTTGAAAAAGCACAATCTTTGAGACTGTGTTGTAAGATTGAAAACTGTTTGGAGGTGCGTATATACAACAGGTGTCGAAATTTGCGATTTTGACTATAAGTCTAACCATTCTAACATCTCCTTCTGTAAAACAATCAGATGTTGAATTTACTTGGAGTTTAACCACTTGTAGTCTTATGTAATCGGTTCAGTGTCTCAGTTTCAGCATCCGTTCAACTACTAGTGTCCTTAAAAATGGATTTGGTCGTTGAAAGTGATGTTAATCCAGATATCTCTGTCAGGTTGTTGAAGTTTAGTCAGTGTTCTCATGTGAAAGGAAATGGATGATTTGTTCATCATATTTGGGTGTATATTTCACCTTTATTCTAGAAGATTAACCTGAATATCGTAAATTGTGGGATTCATTCGTTTTTTGAATGTTCCAGAAGTAATCATTTTTGATCAGTATATAACTATTTAAGTGAGTTTCGTAGATAATCTGGTTTCTTCAGTCTAGAAGTTTGTTGGGATTTATTACTTTCAAAGTGATATTCATCATGGATTGTGAGCATGAGACATCTGTTTCATCCCGATATGGGACTCCACAGCAGTGTGCATCCAAGATCCTGTCAGAGATGGAACCCAGTTTTGCAGCGAGCACACGTGTAACCATTGGGCTACTGATTCAGGACCCAATGGTCCACATTTTATGACCTGTATAACTGATCATAGCTTATATATTGCTGCCAAACGACATTTGGCTAATTGTTTTGGAAACCATTGCTCTAATTTACAGGTCTTTTATTGACAATATCATGACTATTGTTGCTTTTTCTAGGTGGAGAGAGTTAATTAACTGAAAATTGACTTCAGTTTTACTATTATTTCCTATTCACTTGTAATGGGTGATGAACCTGTGGCTAATTAACATCGAAATCTGGAATACCTTTCTTCAAAATGAAAAAAAGAGCAAGTAATAGGTTTTAGTCGGATTAAATACCAACAGTACAGAATTATGTGGAGCTTCCTCTTCAGTTATTTAGACAGACTGATGGATAAAATCAACGTCAAACTCTGCACAAAAGTGAATCACTTTAAGTTAATACACTTCACAGAAGTACACAAAGAATAGGTGGATAGATAACAAAGTAGATAAAGGTGTGTGGTAGGAGAAGAAACTTTAAAATTATGGTTAGTGAAAATAGTCAAGCTCTAAAAGACGTCGAAAAGTGAATACATTTGCATCATTGTGACTGATTTTCAACTAGCTCAGCAAACATCTTCAACCAGTGATGTCAAGGTTTCTATCCAAGGTAGTCTACACCTGCTTTTTTGGCTAAGATCTACAGTCAGGGGTTCCATGAACTGGTGCCACGTCTTGTTCTAGCCATACTGAGCCATTTTTCAAGCTAATCCAACTTCTGCTAGCACTGAACATTGAAGTGAGAAATTGCTTGGCATGAGCAACACATGTTCAAGCCACATCAGTCGGTAAAGGTTCTCAACCTTGCATAGTACCCTTCACCTAACCTGGATATTACTCGCAATGATTTCACCATGCATAAGCAACACTACAAAGACACCTATGTTCCAAAACTTTTAGTCTGTTCATATCTTCTCCTTTTAACTGTCATATCTCATAACTGTATAGCAGGACAGAATGGACAGCAAGGTAGTATAATGTTCTTTGAGTGGTTAGGTGGATATCTCGCTAGTTGTCGCCAGAGATGATGTAGTTCAGTAAGTACCAAGTGCACCTTTCGTGTCTTAGCTGAGATTTCATCAGCAACCAGCTTTTCTGGTCTGATGCGGCTCCCCAAGCAAGTGAAGTCGTCGATGCATTAACTCCGTTAAACTAGGAGTAAGTTGGAGACCAGTCCTGGAGCATCGTCTTACATTTAACAGGTCTGAAAGAAATACCACCTATCAACAGGGTTTCCCTTGGAAAGGATCTGGTTAATATCACAGTGTATGGATTTTTACAGAGAGATGTCATGAACTAGCTAAATGTAATACTACTGAACGACATGAGTAATTAGAAACAACTCGTGCGGATCTGTAGCTTTTGCTCGCCAGATCGAAATGATCTAACCACGACTGCCCTGAGCTCATCAGCAGTTTACCCTGACAAATTCTGTCCACGAACCCGAGTTTTTCAGACCAACTGAATGTGGCTGGCTGACTTGGGTGGGTCGGTATACCTTAATTAGGGTGAACAATTTACAAATGGTTGGAAAATTGCACGGTCTACGTTGCTGAGTAGTGTATTTCAACAGATCATGACACCATTTGTGTCAGAGATAGCAAATTCTGATGTTGATTGGGTATCCTCCAACGGGAACCCTGTTAACACCACAGTTAAGCAGTTGAAAGTGAGAGAAACAGAGAAGGCATCAGCTTTGGGTAACACTCACCAACTATTTAGGTTTATTAAGGATACCGAGAAGAAAAAGACGATGATGAGTGAAACCATCACTGAAAAGGATAGGACGTTCATAACCTCTCAGGAAAAGTGACTGGAACTTTGGGCTAAATACTTTGAAGCAAAGTTCAACTAATCCCCAGCAACGCTTCTGTTGCTCAACATCCAGCCTGAACCTGAATGGGACGTAGATGTTAGTCCTCCAACTCTCCTTGAAGTCGAGAAAGCTGTATCGAACTTGAAAAGATGGGAAGCAGCAGGACCTGATGTTTTGAAGGATACAGGTAGGTAGTTACTAGTAAAAGTGATGGATATACTAGGTAGTGTGTGGGATTCATAGGTTGTGCCGTCAGACTGGTCTACTTCACTAAGAAGGAAGGAAGTCTTCTTGTGAAAACCATAGAGGAATTAGTTTGACTAATATTGTGTCCTAAATCCTGGGGATCCATTATTATCCGTTGCCTGAATGGAGCTCGAGAACAGCAAACTGGAGAAAACCAGGCAGGTTTCAGACCTGGAAGAGGGTGCATCGATCATATTTTCACCTTCCGACAGATTCTGGGACATGTGCAAACCTACTGGGGACCGACACTTGCCGTATTTCTTGACCTGAAGGCACCATTTGACTCTATTGACCATGAGGTGTTGTGGCAGTGTTTGAATGTGCAGCGAGTACCAAGCAAGTATATAATACTTATCAAAGTTGTCTATTCTAACTCACGCAGGTTTGTTCGGGCTTATGGAGAGTTGTCAAGTGAGTTGACAACGACTAGTGGTGTCCGGCGGGAATGTCCACTGTCACCGTTTCTCATCAACTTCGTCATAGACGTACCAATGGACATAACCCTATGTACGTCTGACTTCACAGGGATTAACCTACTCCCTGGAGGTCACCTAGTTGACTTGGAATATGCAGACGATATTGTCCTACTCGGTCAAGACGCTGACGAATGGCTTCAGCAGAAATTCATATGTTTGACACGCGTTTCGTGTCTGTCAAATGTAATATGGTGCTCCAAAACTTCTCTGCTTCAATGACTCACAGCTTAACGATAGGGAGTGAAGTGGTGGAGTGTGTCGACCATTTCACTTACTTAAGAAGTTGCAGCAGACCCAACGGGTTAGTTGCTGACGAAATCTCAGCTCGGACACATAAGACCCGTTTGATATTTGTAAACTCTTATCACCTGTGGCGTCGACGAGATATCCGACTATCTATCAAAGAACAAGTATACTGCGCTACATTCCGTTCCGTCTTGATGTATGGCTATGAGACATGGCCGTTAAAAGTGGAAGGCATGAAAAAGTTAGAGTTTTTTCACCATAGGGTGTCTTCGTAGCATTGCCCGCGTGTGGCAGAATCACTGTGTGAGCAATTTTAAGGTCAGGTAAAGGTTACTAGGCAAGTCGGCTGACGAGTCTGTAACTGAGATGGCTAAGACACGTTCTGTGCGTGCCAAGCCATCGCCTACCTTGATGTTGGATTAGAATGGAAGAGAGTTTATTGTGGCCAGACTAAGACCTGACATCAGTCGATGAAGTCCCTGACTGTTAGCTTGAGCCGTTTGGGAAGATGTAGACTGTATGGTTGGGGTCCCCGGGACGAATGGAATGAGTAGTTTACGACACTTGGTGACATGGGTGAAAACTGGCCACAATGGCGCGGATGTATTTACTCCATGACATCTTCTGAAGCTTGAATATTCACACTAACCTTTATCTCCAAATTGTGTATTCTCTCACTATACTTTATCTACTTTGATATAACTTTTCTTCTATCCACCTGTTCTTTGTGTGTGACATCTTGAACCAATTCACCTATGTCCATGGTTCTCTGTTGACTTTTTCAGTCACCCTGTAAGCAGTTGAAATACTGCTCAGTTTTGAGAAATCCATTCACAGAAACTACAATATGAGGAGTATGTTGACTTCAAGCAATGAAAAATAGGCCTATTCAAGCTTATTGGCTATTCCTAAATTTTTCTCATCGGTGGTGGTCGCTGGTTCGAATCCAGCAATGGGCCAGATTTTCATCTCACCTTCAACCATCACCCAGTATAGATAATAAGTAAAGAATAGTAATAATAATTGCTTTATTCTAAACACTATAAAATTCTAGTGTTACTGCTTGTGGGAACAACATCACTTACTGGGAGGTAGGTACATCCAACTGACGAGTCCCAAATAGGACGAAATGCGCATCCTAGATTCCACTGTTAGCCACTACCCATCCTTATTATACTATAGGATTCTCATCAGGTACATTTTCAACGTAGTCACTCCTAGTTAGATTTGAACCTGTAGCGAAAATCACTTGGTAATCAAAATTGCTGGTGATATTTAGTTCCTCTAGAGACTCATACAGATAAGATATGAATATTCATAGTTCTGATTAATTTCTCTAGCCTAATAAGATTGTTTTTTATTTCCAGTGCAACTGAATATGAATTGGAACAGTGTAAAAAGGTAAATGAAGTTGTGTTAAGTCAACATTTAGCAAGAATACAAACTTTACAATCTGAGGTAAGCTGAATATACTCCAATATAAATTATTATTGTTATTATGTTGCCTGTAAAATATGTTTTGTGCATAACTGATATGTTATTGAAATTGTGTGTAGTCAACTCTTTGATGTTGTATTCATCTTGGTTACTCGCGGTAGACTCCAGAATGTACGTTTCGTCCTACCTGGAATTTGTCAGCTGGATGTACCTGCACCCCAGTGAGTAATGTTTCCCTACTGAGACTTAAACCCATCGCTTCAAACGCTAAAGTGTTATCCACTGGGCCACGTGAGCCACTACCTGTAAAACAGGTATCGTTTTGTTGCTGATTGATACCTGTAATTCTCTTTTGCTATACACAGGGTCGAATTGGTTGACTTTTGTTAACAGATGGGATCGCATGCCCTTCCCTCAATACTGGGGGATATTCATGAAGTTTTATCCATCTTAGTAACTCTCAGTGGAATCCAAAACGCTTGTTTTTTTCCTACCAGGTACTCATCAGCTGGATGTACCTGCTTCGTAGTAATGTTGTTCTCATGAAAACTGGAACCCAGATTATTGACACATAAGACATTTATCGGTTCAGGTTACTACCGCTTGTGAAACAGCAAGAAGAACTAAGGAGTCATTGTAAGTTAGACCATATTGAACTAATGTTGTTTCATGATTTGCATGATAGCTGTTCTTATTGCTTCAAAGCTCAGACCCAAGCTGAGGGTTGTCTTGGTGGATCACTTCCTGATCCCCTGACCTAAAGTCTAATCGACAAGGCAGATGAGTGATGTTAGGTACTGAACTTCCGTATTTACAGATGATCAAATCAGGTTTGTAAGCCATTTTTCCGTTCTTGATTATGAAAGCGTTGTGCTTCACTTGTTTGTAATCGGGGTTTACCAATCCCCCATATTTGGACCATCTGTATCAATTAATCCAGTAATAAACAGTGAACATTCTCTTTCACCTCACTTTTGTTGAAACCAACCACTATGGAAGTCATTGAGTAGGACTTTCATATCAGACATTTTGGACAGAAGCGATCGTGTGAAAGTGCATTTCTAGGGGATGACGGAAGTCATATCACCTCCATCCATCCCAGGGCTTACAGACTCGAGCGTCACTCCATGCTGCCATCAGATACTCTACCACTGAGCTTTTCAAGCTTCAATTTACCTCTTGTAGAATTGAATGATATGAATTGAAAATTCGCTTGAGAGGAAGCGATTTCATATTGTTTACTCCTAAATGCTGAATTGACTCTCTAACATTTAAGGTATCAAATACTCTTAGATGAAAAGTTTCATTCTATTTGCCTTCAGTCTTCTCAAGGATGATCGCAGCTATACCCAAATACCTTGATCTCACTCTCTTTGAGTGTCTTGATCGAACCTTGTAGAGGATTTTGAAGGAGTTCTTACAGAATGCTGAGTAAACTGGATTCGCAACTTGTTCGGTTATCGACATGAAGATGCATTTCTGTTCTGCCTTTGATAGCAAGGCTGGGTAGTGTTGTTGAGTGTGTTTTTCAAACTGGCGTATGGTACGACCAATGTACTTAGCTACATAAGAGCAAGTAAACTGGTATACGTGCACTCGTGTATAACCTAATGTCTCGGCTTATCTTTCAAATGTTGACAAAAAGGTTTCTTGCAGGTGAAAATGGTTCAATGGTTGCAGGCGCAGTGTGGTTCACTTTAAGATTTCTGTAGCAATGTCATTTTTTAAATTCAAGATTCAACTGGAGAATCTTTTTTGACGCTGTATTCATTCAGTTACCTTCTTTGACCTTCATTTCCTATGTGTGAATCCAGGTGGGAAGCCATTTTGTAACGGAGTTCCTTGTCAACACTGTCATCTGTGTATACTGTTTTGATCTTTGACAAAAAAGAATGCATAAGATTTCTCCTCCTACTTAGAGTGACCAAATTTTGAAAACCAGTAAAGTATGTGTTTCATGTTGCCTTCGAAGTGAAGACAGGAGAAAGAAAATGGTACCTACTATAACCGATGATCTTCTTGATTCCGGTCAACTAGACTGGATCATGCAACCGACAACTATGAGGAGGAGAAGATGGGCATACGCAGTTTGACCAATGAAAAGAGCCTAGAAGATTTGGTTTTCACCGATGATGATGATGATGATTTATGTCTAATGTCTTGTGTCTCACAAACTCGAAGGTGTACAGGCGAAAACTAACAAGTTGGCAGAAGAGTCGTGGTGTGGCGTGGCGTGGCGTGGCATGGCGAGACGGCGATGACGTGACTTCCTTCAGGTGAACGTAGAGAGAGCAGACAGAGGTGATGAAGATATCCAACCAACAACAGCAAAAACAACAACAAGAGGCACCAATCATCATCAAGATGAAAAATCTAAAGGAAGTTGTCTCTTTCACCTGCCTACCTAGGTGGCATCACTTGAACTACAGACGGCGGTGGCAGTACAGATAAGGGTGTCAAAGCCAGGGTCGGAAAGACAGCAAGCCAGACCTTGTTCAATCTGAGATCAGTGTGGAGATCTGCTGCACTGCACTGCACTGCACTCAGCAGCATAAAGCGTGAACAATATCCGTATTTTCAAGACTAATGTCAGTCGAGTGAGTCAGTGCATCTATGTGATGGTTGGAAGGTTTGACGCATTACGAAAAGGCATATGCAACAAACTGTAGACCAACGTGATCGACAGCTGCCTTCTCATGATACTGAAGAAGAGATGAGAAGGGGAGAAAGAATAAGCAAGAAGGAACTCACTCTGACCTGTCTGGCTGGCAACGAACCAACCAAGCAACCGAGAACGTATGACCCAACAAAAATGCAGAATAAAGTGGAGATGGAGATGGATTGGATGTACAGTGAGAAGACGATTTCGGAGTTGAGACATCACTTGTCAGGTCATGTGATGCCAGGCCAGGCTGTGGAGTGGAAGCCAACTGGGAAACGACGAGTTGGTGGTGTGTGTTTGTGTGTGTGTGTGTATGTATGTATGTGTGATGGTGACATGGAGGAGATGATGTGCGTGAGGAAATTAAAGCTTTTGGGCAGAGACCCGACCGATAGCTGCTACCTTGACGTGGTGGTCGGGCTTGCATATCACAATGACCCAACGAGCTATGCTGGTGGAACGCTTGTTCCCTCGAGGTCCTACCATACCAGAAAGGTCTGTTGGGTAGTGGTTAGACGAAAAGCAGTTACCGTTATAGTGTAAATTGCTACACTATGATGGGGGTCTGAGGGCGAAGTCGTACTGCTGCTAGCTGGATGGGGTGTGACAGCAGTAAGGTGTTTCCCTTGGATGACCAGCAGTGCCAAGCTGATGCTGCCTTCTCAGTGGAAGGGGGGGTTAGAAAAGGTCGGCCCCAAAAATAACACACTCCACCACGCCCCACGGTCTGCCGGGCCGGCGGTGTTGGTTCACTTGTCGTTTCCTTTCGACCATCCGGCCCCAAAAATACAAAAATTCAAAATAATCATACTCAAAAGGCTGGGTGTGACAGGCCTCAAGCAGATGTCCGATGGGCTCTGCGGTCACACAAATCTCTTTCAGGTACCTTAAGAAGAAATAGCCTTCCACGGTGTGGGCAGCCGGGAAGTGTCAACCGCCCTCACAACTCTGTCAGCACCCAAGTTTCTTCTGACTGCTATCCTCCTCCTCCATCATTACCTTCTAATCTTCCTTCACGTCTCTTAATTAATGATGCTGCATCATCTTCAATTTCTCCTACCTCTGCAGCCTTCGACAACGATCTGAGTCCACAGAACAGCATCCCTGGTCTCCTTAAACCACGCTCCAAATTACATATTGGAGCCTTCAATGTCCGCACCCTCCGTCAAATTGGCCAACAGGCTTCGTTGGCAAAGACTCTAGCAACTCGGGCATGGATGTGTGCTGTGTTTGTGAGACACGCATACAGGACCCAAGTGTGGTTATTCACCTGACCTCTCCTGACCAATCTGGTGAATCTGCAAAATTCACCCTTCGAGTTTCTGGAGATTCGATAGCTAGCTCTCGTGGTCTTGCAGGTGTAGGTATAGCATTAAGCACCAGGGCAGAAAACTCACTACTAGACTGGATCCCAGTTGATAGTCGCCTCTGCGCTATGAGGCTGAACGGCACAGTGAGAACTAAAAGGAATAGTGAGACTCGCCGTTGTCTCTTTGTAATCTCTGCTTACGCACCCACTGACTGTAGTTCGGATGAAGTGAAGGACGAGTTCTACCATAAACTGTCTAACCTCCTCTCGAAAGCCAAACGTTCGGACGTAGTGGTTGTTGCAGGTGACCTCAACGCACAGGTGGGTAGACTGAGTGAGGCAGAAAGGCACTTAGGTGGCACTTTCGGAATCCCAGCTGAACGTACAGATAACGGTGATCGCCTATTACAACTATGCTCAGATAACCGCCTATTTTTAGCCAGCACAAATTTCAGACATAAAGAAAGGCACTGTCTGACCTGGCGTCCACCGAGCTCGACTCAGCGATGGACACAGATAGACCACATTGCTATTAGTCATCGCTGGAGAGGATCGGTGGAAGACTGCCGCTCCTTCTGGAGTACGTGTTTGGACAGCGATCATGCGTTGGTCCGAGCACGTATATGCCTGCGTCTCAATGGACGTAGAAAAAATTTGGCAACAAAACCACTACGAGTTCTGCTGGACAACGAAAACACCAAAGCCGTGTTCAGTGAGAAGTTGGCTAGGCAGTTATCGGAACAAAAGACTGTCACTCATCCAGAAGAAGCTTGGTGCCATCTTCAGTCTACTGTAAAAGCAGCACTGGAGACTGTAGCCGACTCCAAGATAATGGCTAAAAAGAGCCAGTGGATATCAGCAGCTTCTTCCAAACTAATGGATGCACGTGAATGCATCCCTGCAGGCTCTGAGTACAATGAAGAGCGAGCGCAACTTAAAAATAACTGACGAAAAGTCTGCGCAACGATCGTGAACAGTGGTGGGCAGCAAAGGCTAAAGAGATGGAAAAGGCAGCGGCGATCGGTAACAGTAGACAGTTATTTAGACTTATTAAGGAGACTGGGGGGAAATGGTCAACAACAGTTAGTGAGGTTATAGCGGAGAAGGACGGATCGCGATTCACTCGCAGGGAAGGCGACTGGGACGATGGGCAGAACACTTTGAGGAACAGTTTAACTGGCCTCCAGCCACCATTGCGCTGCCCGCTATCCAGTCGGACCCTGAATGGGACATAGAGACAGGTCCCCCAACACTAGAAGAAGTTGAGAAAGCGGTAGGTAGCCTGAAACGGGAAGGGCAGCAGGACCAGACGGACTACCTGCTGAGGTATACAAGAATGGTGGTAGAGTTCTCTTAGTCAGGCTAACGGAAGTGTTAGCCAGTATATGGGAATCAAATACGATCCCCTCCGACTGGTCTAAGTCACTCATCATCCCAGTCTTCAAGAAAGGCGAGAAGTCCTCTTGTGATAACCACAGAGGAATCAGCCTGACAAACATAGTGTCTAAGATCCTAAGTTCTATAATTCTCCGACGCCTGAGTGGAGCTCGGGAACAGCAAGCCCGAGAAAACCAGGCAGGCTTTAGACCTGGCCGTGGATGTATCGACCAAATATTCACACTGCGCCAGGTCCTGGAACATAGGCATGCTTACAGACGCCCGACAATAGCTGTATTTCTCGACCTGAAGGCGGCATTTGACTCCGTTGATCGAGAAGTCTTATGGCAGTGTCTGTCACTGAAAGGCGTGCCTAGTAAGTACATCACCTTATTGAAAGCTCTCTACTCGAACACTTGTGGGCATGTTAGAGCCTATGGTGAGTTGTCCAGGGAGCTATACTCATCAAGTGGTGTCCGTCAAGGATGCCCACTATCCCCATTCTTATTTAATTTTATCATAGATATTCTTATGGAGGTTTCCCTCTCGTCACCTAATTACACAAACGTTGACCCAATCACAGGTGAATTTTTTTCACTTACCTGGGAAGTAGGATCAACCCGGTGGGTTAGTTGCCGATGAAATCTCTGCACGGATACAAAAGGCTCGATTGGCTTTTCCCATTTTGCGCCACCTATGGCGCCGCCGTGATATTCGTTTGTTTATTAAGGTTGGAGTGTACTGCACAGCAGTCCGCTCTGTTCTACTGTATGATTGTGAAACATGGCCATTGAAAGTGGAAGATATAAAAAGGCTTCAGGTGTTTGACCACTGTTACCTTCGTAGTAAAGGACATATTCCGTGGTGTCACCATGTGAGTAATGCAGAAGTTAGGTGTGAAGTTTTGGGAGAAGAGGTAAGTCAGTTGACGAGGTTGTGAACCTTCGTCGACTGAGATGGTTGGGACACGTACTACGTATGCCTAGTCACCGATTGCCTCGTCACACAATGTTGGCTGAGGTGGGTCCAGGCTGGAAAAAGGCCCGAGGTGGCCAGACTAAAACATGGCACCAATGTATGAAGTCTCTGACTGTTGGTTTAAGCCATATAGGACGATGCAGACTAGGTGGTTGGGGTCGGCGGGACAAGGGGAACCAGTGGTTGGAGACCCTAGGTGATATGGCTCAGAACCGATGTGAGTGGCGCAGATGTATACACACCTTATCCTCATCTTAACTACACTATACCGAATCTCACCATTTTGTCACCCCTCTTTCCTTTCTTCTTGTACTTTATATTTCTTTTGACTGTATTCACTTATCTTCATCTTTCACCTCACTACCTTTTTACTTGATGTGCTGATATGAGGTGTGGCAACTCGGACCGTTACGCAGTAATGCCTGATCCTATGTTGATAATAATGATGGTTTGGGCAGAGAACAGAGTGCAATGTAGACGTGCTACTGGAGCCCGATGTTCCACTGGGAACCCAAATACTTCTGCGAATTAGCGAAACATTATATACCAAGGAGTAGAAGAGTTGTTCGCCTACATTTCGAATATCCATTGTTTGTTTTTATATCTTGGTTCACACAGTTAATCACTTCAGTAATGAAACGAAAATTATTTTATTATTTAACAGTTCTGTGAATTTGTTGAATTAAAAATGAGATGAATAGATTTAATTATGGTATATATATCCGTTGGTGAATAGGCTTGCCTGACAACTAGTCATTTACCAGTCTAATCTACCTTCTGAGATGTAAAAAGTGTAACTTATAGCCAGACATTTGGGTTTTTGGGTTTCATTGCATTTTAAATTACGGTATTTAGTAAATTTGGGTTTCTATCCCTTTGGCTAATGGTATTGATATCATCATTTAATAGAATCGGCCAAGACCATCCGTTACCTTTCTAAAATCACTATTGTTTCAATTCGGAGGCATAAATGGTGGAACATTAAGTTGTTTGGAATTACCAGTTGTTTTCTATTATCAACAGCCATCGATAAAATAGATATTTCCAGTTTAGTCATAGGCTTTTGAACTTCATCAATTTTGTATCTCACAACAGTGTTTTTTAGCACTTATGTATATACTACTTACAAGATAGTAGTAGTATATCACTAACACTTTTACAAAATGTTTCTTTATTGCATTTTCAAGGGTCAGGCATACCAAAATCAACTATCAGGTTTAAAAATTGAATTGGAACAATGTAAGCAAACGATAAAATTGAAAGAAGAGAAAATTGATCAAATGGAAATATATTTATCTAAACTGCCAACATTGGATGATTATAAAGAGACTGTGAATAAGGTGAATTTACCTACAACTTTTTCATATTAAAATATTATTAGACGGGATTCATAATAAAACGATCTGTGATGAAGTGGTGTTTATCTTATGCATACAATGTCATCATTGGTTAATTATTTGCATTATAAACTGTTTATGGATAATGTAAAACGGTTTTTATTACCGTATAATTGTTTTTATATGATACCGTCGTCGGTTGGACCGAATCGATCGGTCTCTGTTGGCATACGGGCTCCTGTGAGGATGTCAGCGCTCTATTTATGGCCATCGTGTCTCGGTGGTGTAGTGGAAAACGCATTGGCGTTTGAAACGATCACTCCCGAGTCCGAATCCCGGTGGGAACAATATCACTCACTGGGAATCTGACGAGTCCCAAATACGACGAAATGCGCATCCTGGATTCCACTGCTAGCCACGATCCATCATTAACATAAGTAGGTTGTCATTACAATTTTCAGAATAGTTCTGCCGATGTCATTTGAATGCGGTTACACTGGACGGTGTTTCATTTATATTCAGGAACTAAAATCGTTATATCTAAAAAGGCTGTTCTTTAATGTCCATACAGTTAAGCTAGCTTTTACCTAGAGATGTATCCAAAATTATGTATATAGCTAATGCTATAGATAAATAAAATCAACGTATACAAGTACATCTATAATGTTGAGATCTGTCCTCAGCCATATCACTTAGAATTGTCAACCAACGACTTCGGTTGTCAGCTGGACCAAACCTAGGAGTCTACATCACCCTACATGGCTCATTCAAAGATTGAAATCGATAAAGGAAATCGACTGGAGCAGAATAACGTATTATGGTCTTATTTCACCAATTCTTCATCAGCTGTTTACTATCCGAAACATTAAAAAGTATTGTGTCACTGAGAAATCATTAATGTGTCCCAAAGACACTCGATTTCACTTCAAATATGCTTTTTTTTCTGCCAAATTGATGGATTAACAATACTGAGTTTACTGGGGTAAGTATTGGGGGCGGGAGGGGATATTTTCTTGGCAAAACTTTAACACGCAATTGAAGAAGTGACTTCTTATTCCAGAAATGTTCAGTGACTTATGTCATCCATCATATTGACTGGCACTCTTGAGGGATACTCGTGAAAGTCATAGGTTCACCATGGAACATGAAGACAATGATATAAGGTTAGCCTTTTCGATATTCGCTTACAAATCAGGGTGAAAAGTCAAATTAGCATATTAAAAGTGAAAGGTTAGGCGAAAGGGGAAATAATGTTTTCAAAAGCGGTGAAAATGAGAAGTAAATATGAGGCTGAAAAAGGCACGAAAGTTCATAAAGGGAAAAATTGATATGAAATTCTTTGAGAAAAGTCAAAAACTTCATAAACTGACATCTCATCTTGTTCTGGCCCCTCTTAGTTTTGTTCGAACTTAATTCTACCCCAGCTAACGTCGTGTATCCAGGTAGGTGGTACGTCATCATATGCGACACATATTCAAATCCTGTCAATTGCCTCTAACAGATAAACATCTGTCATAGCATACTGCAATGGTAAGTCTCCTAGTTTGGGCCAATATTCAGGACTAGAAAACATGAAATTGGATACTTTCTAGTAACCAATCAGTATATGTTCAGATTACTTCAGTTGGTAAAGGTTCATAACATCATCGACTGATTTGTCTTCCTTGCCTAGTACTCTATGCATGACGTCTCACGATTATTCCATGATTCACTTACAATACCTATGGTGACCGTGTGTCATAAGCGTACAATAGAATCGAGTAGACTGCTGCATAGTATACCCTTTCTGTGGTATGTTGTTGGATCTTTCACCGATTCCACAGATGACATGGTTCGGTACATAGTAAACAATGAGTTTTTATTTTATTTTATGCAGTATAATAATATCTGTTATTGGTTTGTTTTACAGTTACAACTTATAAAAAATCAAAATCATTTACTGAAGAAACGTATTGAAGAGTATAAGAAGAAGTTGAATGATTGTGATTCACAGTTAACTGAAGCTAAAACTCAAATTAAATACAATAAAGAATGTGAACAAATGCTTCAAACACAGCTGGATGCAGCTATGGAGGTAGACCAAAAAGCTTAGTCAATTTTCACTCTATAGTTATATATGATATGTGCATGTTTACTTACTGGATAGAATCATTTTGTTTGAATAGGTGTTTGCCTACTATCACCAATGATCCTTCTGATTCCGGTCAACTAGACGGGATCATGCAACCAACAACTATGAGGAGCGAGAAGATGGGCATACTCAGTTTGACCAATGAAAATGCCTAGAAGATTTGGTTTTCGCCGATGATGATGATGATGATTTATGTCTATTGTCTTGTGTCTCACAAACTCGAAGGTGTACAGGCGAAAACTAACAAGTTGGCAGAAGAGTCGTGGTGTGGCGTGGCGTGGCGTGGCGTGGCGAGACGGCGATGACATGACTTCCTTCAGGTGAACGTAGAGAGAGCAGACAGAGGTGATGAAGATATCCAACCAACAACAGCAAAAACAACAACAAGAGGCACCAATCATCATCAAGATGAAAAATCTAAAGGAAGTTGTCTCTTTCACCTGCCTACCTAGGTGGCATCACTTGAACTACAGACGGCGGTGGCGGCACAGATGAGGGTGTCAAAGCCAGGGTCGGAAAGACAGCAAGCCAGACCTTGTTCAATCTGAGATCAGTGTGGAGATCTGCTGCACTGGACTGCACTGCTCTCAGCAGCATAAAGCGTGAACAATATCCGTATTTTCAAGACTAATGTCAGTCGAGTGAGTCAGTGCATCTATGTGATAGTTGGAAGGTTTGACGCATTACGAAAAGGCATATGCAACAAACTGTAGACCAACGTGATCGACAGCTGCCTTCTCTTGATACTGAAGAAGAGATGAGAAGGGGAGAAAGAATAAGCAAGAAGGAACTCACTCTGACCTGCCTGGCTGGCAACGAACCAACCAAGCAACCGAGAACGTAAGACCCAAGAAATATGCAGAATAAAGTGGAGATGGAGATGGATTGGATGTACAGTGAGAAGACGATTTCGGAGTTGAGACATCACTTGTCAGGTCATGTGATGCCAGGCTAGGCTGTGGAGTGGAAGCCAACTGGGAAACGAAGAGTTGGGGTGTGTGACGGTGACATGGAAGAGATAGTGTAAGGGAGAAATGAGAGTTTGTAGGCAGTGGTGTATCCAGGTTGGAAAGAGTGCAGAGAACAGAGTGCAATGTAGACGTGCTGATGAAGCCGTATGTTCCACTAGTAATCCATGGGACAAGTAATAATAAAATGACTTAGTGTATACTTTAAGGCTTTGAATATTTTTCTATTCATTTGTTACCACAGCTGTCTTATTGATAAGTTAGTCGAGATAACCGTTTTGGGATCAGATTTTGATAGTTTACTTGAAGATTTGTGCTCTACTAACATGCTGAAGATTGGATTTCCGAAGGATTTACCTACTGTTTTTGGATAACATAAATGCGAATAAAGTTTTTGAGATAGAAGGTTATCAAACTGACATTAGTTTTATGGAAAATGTACAAATGAAACTTTTGTTTAGAAATAACTCTACCATCAATACTCCCTCGTTGATGCTAATTGATGGCATTCCGAAGAGTAATGTACATACTGCAAGTGTTGAAAGTATGTTCTCTTACTGATAGTTGACTTGTCAATATGTTAACGATAATCGAAAGAATTACTTGCAAATTTACTTGCTTTTGTAAGGTTGATTATATTGATCATAATAAACACTTGACTTCCAGCTGTTTTTATCAGCATTATTCATAGGCCAGTTTGCGAAACAAGAATAAAATGTAAAGGTGTATTGTTGAATATTTCAAGAATTCAACTCCTCTTCAATTTTTAGATTTGTATTCATTATGGACTGAAGACTACTGAATAACTGGGAGCACTGGACAGTAGTGCTCACATATGACCCTGGTAGTGCTCATTAGTGACTAAGTGCTAGAAGTGACTCCCCAAGTGTCTATGAGAGGTCGTGACCAGTGCAATCAACTAAGTTGAACATGAGGACAGTTACTCAGTGACGGCTTCAAATGGAAGCCTCACTGTATTGTGAACTGGCAGAAGTAAGAAATGTGGACCATTGGATTCTGACCCTGTGGCTCAATAGAGACAGGCTGGCCGTGGAACCTGAAAGTCTTGGGTTCGAACCCTACCGGGGCGGGGTCATAGGTGCGCACTGTTGAAGTTCCGTACTAGGACGAAACAGCTGTTTAGTGCTCCGAGGTTTCTAATGGCTCCCCCCAAAACCTCATAAGTGAATCAACTTCGATGGTTGTTCGAGAAGTATGAGTGAAGCTTGTGGTTCATGAGTTCAAAGCATTGGATTTTCAACCAGTTGTTCATGTGTTTGAACTGTGGTCTACCTACCAAGTAGTATTGTTAGCCCTTACAAAATAGGTGTGATTCAGTCCCATCTGTAACAATGTGCATGTAGTATCTGAGTGCACTTTGATTTCGATTGCAATTATTGCTGTTGTAACTATTATGATTACCTCAGTATCATTGTGAAGATATGTGTGGAAGTGAATGACAGAAAAATGCGAAACACGAGAATGATCACTAACCCAATTGATTGGATGCAAATAGCGACTATTCTTCCTCAGTCCTGATACTTCACTGAGCCCCGAAAATCAGAAGACTGAAGTCTGACTGTAAGGAAGACAGGCTTATTTGACAAAAAAACATTTATATACGATTTCTCCCCAAAAAATAAAGCCACTAGGTCAGAAGTTGAATATTTATTCTGATTGGTTACCTGTAGGACAAAATTGCCCAATAAGGTATTTCCCGCCCACACAATAACAGGAAACAAGGTTGAAATTCAAAACGTCTACCTTATTGGCTGATGACTTATAATGTTTTTTTTATGTAGTCTGCTTCGTATCACATTGCTGCTTGATATATCTTTTATTTGATTGGTTATGTCATCCATCCATCCTTCTTTTTTTGAGTAGCTTAAGAAAGATGAATGGTGTGCGACAGTCATTTAACAAAACTGTATCATGAGTCACAACTATGGGGAGTTGGTAATGGATCACCTATATGTTGTTTGTTAATTACTACGCACTGTGTAACCTATCCTTTTAAAAAGGAAATGACTAATCATAAATTCAGACGAAATCCTGTGTGTTTTAGCCTTTTTTAAAAACTCTATATCATAGTGAGTAGGTTATTTTGATGAGATGTTGAACGGTTCATTGATTTTAGCGTCTATATCAGCGTAAAAGTGGTAAATCCAATCTGAATGGAATCAAAGTCACTCCAATCTTTGTTGAAGACTTAAAATTTGAATTGGAACGTTATCGTCTTGCTTTTGAACAAACTAAAAAAGTGAGTAGTATATATGTATCCTTTTGTGTGATTTTTTAATATCACTAGTTATTTTTTCTTGAAAACAAATTGTTCCTTTCACATTACAGTCCCAAATATGTGAGAATATAACCGTGTAGTCAGAAGAGCTACTACGTGCTTCTCACCTCATCAAACTTTGATCTATTTCGGATAAAACCTAAAGTGCACTAGACCTGTAAAATAAAATGGTAAATTTGTTATATATACCCCTTAATTTTGCATAGCTTTTGCCTAGTATTTTACCCATGACCTTTAAATTACCGTACATAGCTGTTTTCATACCGTTGCTAGTTTGTCTTCTCTCTCTTCACAAGGCTGAAATCTCATTGGTTGTTAACTATTTTCACCCAAATGTGAATTTAATGCCATCAAGGTCATTTAGAAATATATATATTCAGCATCTCTGTTCACTGTTTTGGCTGTTGTTGAGACAGTAGAAAGCGTATCAGTGATATTGTTATTGTGATGGTAGGGGTTGACGTTCTGATTTGCTTTAGAGTCAATTCATTTGCCTGTTAGTTTCGTACTGTTCTTAGTCTGCTAGGTTTGTATTGCTCGTAAACTGTTAGTTTGTACTACTGATCATGGCAGTTCCTCGTCTACAATGATCTGAATCGTGTAGTTCATTTGTTGACAGAGCTCATCATGATTTTTGTGAAAGTTAAACTTGCCATAGAAATATGAGTATGACAAAGAGGATGATTGGAAAAACCATCTCAAGGAAAGATATATGGATTAGAAAATACCTTGACTAAAACAACTGTTGCCACTCTAAGGCATGGATTAGTGAAAATTCTTTGCAACAAATCTAGTAACTTATATTCTGCATACAATTCAAAAGGAAAGTTGAACATAATTGAAAATCTTCTCAAAAAGAATAGATACACGGCTAATACATTTAACATTAAGTATAGAAAAGAGGAAATGGGAAGAATTAAGCACCTAATTGTTTTGATAAGAAAAGTCATTTTCTTTTCCTTTCGCCTTGAAGAGAGACGCAATACCTAATGGAATAGACAGATGGGTAAAAAGAGCATTCAAAGAAGTTTTCCTCTAGCTAACCTTGTATCGATCTATTGGTACTGTAGGCTAACTGAAACAGTTTTAACCGGATGAATATCTTGTTCGTGTTTTCTACAGCTGGATTTATGAATTTCAGCTCACTTTTATTAGGTAAATACATTGAAGAATAAACAACTAGGTGAAGGGCATCTATTCACTTTTTTGAGCATATTCCATAGAATGTCTGCTTAAAGAGAAACGAAATTCTGACCAATATAATTAGAACCTATCTCGTGGATTAAGAGGTATCCAGCTGATAATTCAAGTAACTTGTAAGATATAAAAATTGCAGCAAATGTCTGAACTACTTCTCTTTTGTGTGGTATAAGATTCTCAACTACCAGATTTACGCTTAGCAAAGAAGAATATGATCTGTCTTTCATTTTTATGGGCAACTTCACTTTGATTTTGGTTCAGGTTCCGGCCAATTACAAAATTCTTTTGAAATAGTGGAGAATATTTTTAGCTCAGGTTAATGATCTTGGTTATATTGTGTTCTCTGAGCTAGGTTGTTTAATCGTGAAGCTTTCATCGTCTTTCGTCTAGACGACATCATCAGCACTAACTTCACTAGAAAATAACCTGTCAATATCTATCCATGAGTGATTTAGTAGTTTACCCTGATCAACTAGTTTGTGATTGGTTGTTTCGTCTGATTATTGTGTCATTGACTGACTGCATAGGTTTTCCTGTTGACTGTTCTTCTGCTTCACCTTTCACCTTTCTATCGTTTATCATTTTTCTTTTTGGTAGATAGATTGGGTCTATGACTATACATCTTTTGATTGCTGACTGACTGACTTGAATGCCACGCTTCTAGGAACTCTCTGATATTCTTTGTGCTTCCTCTCTCTGTCCAAAATTTCTACATTGTCAATATTCAATTCATGTCCATAGTTGTTATCCATGTGCATTGAAATGAGTGACGAAATGTCATATTTGACGTTTAATAGCCAAATGGTGTTCATGTAGACGAAGGCGAAGAGGGTGACCACTTTGCTCAATGTAGTGTTGATCACAGTTTTTGCAGTTGATTTTGCAAATGTGATATCTGGTTTGTCTTCTTTGATTGTTGCACCGTTTGGTTTACACAGTATTGTTTGGAGGGGATTTTTTAGTTTATCAGAAGATGCATTTCTCGTACATCATCAACTACAAAGTCATTCACAGAAATCAATAAACGCATCATCCTACCATACATAAAGAATATATCAGAAATCACGACAACATTACTGAGACCACTTGGAATTGCTGTGGCTCATAAACCAACAAATTCCCTCCAAACACTATTATGCAGACCAAAGGATGCAACAACCAAAGAAGGCAAACCGAATATCGTTTACAAAATCAACTGCAAAAATTGTGATCAACACTACATTGAGCAAAGTGGTCACCCTCTTCGCTATTAAACGTCAAATATGACATTTCGTCACTCATTTCAATGCACATGGATAACAACTATGGACATGAATTGAATATTGACAATGTAGAAATTTTGGACAGAGAGAGGAAGCACAAAGAATATCAGAGAGTTCCTAGAAGCGTGGCATTCAAGTCAGTCAGTCAGCAATCAAAAGATGTATAGTCATAGACCCAATCTATCTACCAAAAAGAAAAATGATAAACGATAGAAAGGTGAAAGGTGAAGCAGAAGAACAGTCAACAGGAAAACCTATGCAGTCAGTCAATGACACAATAATCAGACGAAACAACCAATCACAAACTAGTTGATCAGGGTAAACTACTAAATCACTCATGGATAGATATTGACAGGTTATTTTCTAGTGAAGTTAGTGCTGATGATGTCTGTGTCTAGAAGAAGGACAATGAAACCTTCACTGTTAAAACAACCCAGCTCAGAGAACACAATACTATGAAGACAAAATTCTTTATTCTATTCACCTACTGATTACAACTTACTGAGTTGGTTCAAACCTTATTTCTCAAAGTCATTTCCTTCGCATATTGAGTAATTTATTAGCTAGTTTCAGTTATTAGTTGGCTGATGGCAGTCATCAGCAAGTCAAATCTGCAACGTCGTCCACCTTGTCACTAAGTGTTATATTTAACGACTTTAAGCTATTCAAGAAGAAACTGACCTCCTGTATGACTGGACTACATAGATTGATTGATCACTGGAGAGCAGCGGTCCATCATAGTGTGAACCACCATGGTGAGCTTCGTAGTTTGGAAAGTGATCAATTGAATTCTGTCAGCATTCAAGGCTAGACGACATGAGATTATTTGCTCACTAGTGATTAGTCAATGTAGTTTTAGCTATTTCTCTTTCATCCATTCTTTCCCCTCTCTCTCTCTCTTTACTACACTTCAGCTGCCTGTTGCGCAACATACAGAGTAGCAATCATTTTGATATACAACTTGTAATTATTGATTTATTTTTTTAACTGATGTCATTGAAGTATTTGTAGTACAAGCGTAGTCATTATGTTGTATACCTCAATATACAATGTTGGCTTAGACTTGAAGAAAACTGAATACTGTTAGATTAGATAGCAACATCATTACATAAAGTGTTGAGTTAAGCATTGCTTGATTTAATTCCTCTCTCCTTTTTTTGCAATAACTTTTAATCGATTTGTTTATCTTTCATCTTGATGAAGAGTTTCTTAATCTAGAGTTTTGATGACTTAAACGATTGTGTAGTATTACAAAGTTTATATATGTACCATGTGAATAAGATTTATACAACTTGTTTATTAAAGTTCTTATTGTTGCTTATAATTCTTCTCTTTTCTTTTGGAATTTCTAGCTTCTTGAAGCTGAAACATGTCGTGCAGAAGCTGCAGAAACTCGTCAAAAATTAGATTATCGTGAATTCAGTGAATATCGTGCACGTGAAGAAGCTGAAATAACTGGTTTAAAGGCATCTTTATCAACTAGACGTATTGAAATTAAACAATTGAAAGAGCGTATCTCTGAGGTGAAGTTTTTACATAAAATTTATACTTTGTTTTTATACATATATATGTTTCCTTTTTATTTATTCATTCATAAAATCATTCATGTAGACTTAGAAAATGAGCATTCTTTCGAAATGGCTCCATAATTGTTCTGTTGGTCTGTCGAAATCACCGACCACCCACTATTCGGATGTGTTATAATACTACTACTACTACTACTACTACTACTACTACTACTACTACTACTACTAATAATAATAATAATAATAATAATAATAATAATAATAATAATAATAATAATACTAATAATAATAATATTAATAATGGCACTATTGTGAAAGCTATTTTGAGAATACTCTACAGAGTTCTCATCATGTCATATAGCATCAATTGGATAAAGACAGTGTATCTCGGTGTACATAACAAAATGAACATAAGCAGAAATTACATGAAGAAAAGATAAGAATATTCGCTCTATTTAAAACTTTCTTGAAAATGCACAATCAGTTTAGGTAGACGATTACATTAGTAATTAGATTTTATAGTACGCGCTCATCTTCAATAAGTTTGCTTTCAAAAACAGAAAGCGATTAGTTAGTTCATTTCTAATACTTCCTTTATCACACGGGAGATGAGCTAAATAAGGTATTGTAGAGTTTTTATATTTTGTAGTACTTATTTCAAGTTGTTATTCATCGTAGACTGACATCAGTTGGAGGAACAAAGGAAACCTGAGAGCACTGGACAGCTGTTTCGTCCTAGTGTGGGACTCCTCAGCAGTGCGCACCCACGACCCCACCAGCAGGGATCGAACCCGCGGCTAGCGCGTTACCATTGAGCCACTGGGTCAGAATCCAATGCTCCATATTTCCAACTTCTGTTAGCTCACGATATATAGCGCAACCGCCACCCAATGTCAACGCTGAGTATCTGTCCTCATGGCCATCAGGCTTTGACTCCACCGGTCACGACTTCTCATTGCAACTTCGGGAATACTTCTCGAAGCTAGTCACCAATGAGCACCAGTTCAATTAAATTTTGAGGAAGTGCGCACTGCTGAGGAGTCCCATACTAGGACGAAACAGCTGTCCAGTGCTCCCAGGTTTCCTTTGTTCCTCCAACTGATGTCAGTCTACGGTGAATAACAACTTGAAATAATTCCAAATCTCCACAACTCCCTCAAAATTTTGTAGTACGTGCATACAGTCTTATGTGTTTGCTCCTTGTCTTTCCAGATGACCGACAGGTAGAGAGAGAGCTTTGAGTGAAGAGGATGTTGGTCATCTGATAGAATAACTCCTGTCAGATGTTTACATGGGTTAATATGTTTGTCCACAACTGTTTTAACTAGGAGACTTAGGGGTACATCACTAGTTCTGCTGACAATCTCCAAAGTTCTGCGCAATTCATAGCATAATCTTTTTTCAGCAACCCAGGAAAAATAAAGGAGAGCAGTGGAGGAGAACAGGCAAGATGTTGGAGTTTATAAAACACAAGAGGAGAAGCTGAATTGTACCAAATACTCTCATCTTCCTGTTATAGAAAGTCAGACGGAAAATGTTTTTGCAAAAAGTGAGATATGTTAAAACCAGGAAAGGTCCGAGGGAAAACACTCACCAAGATAAATCACACTTGTAACATTCTCTAATGAGCAACTATCAATAGAACAGGAATCATGAGAACTAAGCAGTTTGCAAAGGTTATGTTCACGTCTGAAACGATAGTTCATGGTCTGTTATTTTGAGGAATTAAGCATAAGACCATTTACGGGAGACCATCATCTAACAGTATGTGGGAAATCACTCATTTGGGAACAATCTGCTGAAGGGTAGATAGATAATAGAAACTCTTAGGTCATCGGCATATTTAATGAAATTGATACTAGATAAAGATGGTTAGTCATGCAGAAAGAATGAGAAAAGATATGGGTAAAGGATGACACCCTGGGGAACACCAGTCACAGTTAGCAATGAGGTGGAGTGCTTTAGAGAAATAAGAATGCAGCCAGCTGATTATCCAGGACTCAGTATTTGTCCCGGTTAGCTTGTCCAACAAGAGAGGTCTTGGGACAGAATCAACTGCCAAAGTATAGTCTAAAAAGGCACACCTAACATATTTGTCATTTTTATCAAGACTATAAGCAATATCGTGATATAAGAGAGTGATAGCATCCAAAGTTCTTCTTCTGCTTTATATGCAAATTGATAAGGGTCTCTGAAAGCCTTCAGTGAAGGCTCAAGCACAGGTATTATTTGCTTCTCCATTATTTTTAAGAACGGAGAGGTAACTGGAATTCGACTACATGTCACGCGCCATGGCTGCTGTTTTGTGTTTAATCCTCAATGTTTCACTTCAAGAAATAAAAGTTATAGATGTTAATGATAAAATGTAAAACGTTTCGTCGTATAATATGCTTTGGCTACATATATGATCAAATCCACTGTCTTTTTTGACGTCATCTGAGGAACTGGTAGAGTGTGTATTCACTTATCCTAAGTACGACATCAATTCTATTGTGTGTTAGTTATTCTTGGCATCTTGTCAAGTAAGTACAGAGAACAGTTCTCATTGAAAGTTATTGCCTTGTAAAGGAAAATAATACTCAGCTCTTCTTCACTTCTGTCTATATGTTTCACTTTATATGAAGGCCCGTTTGACATTTGTCAATTAACTTCATTTGTGAGACTGATGAGATATCCGAGTATCTATTAAAGGACGAAGATATTGTACCGCAGTTCAGTTTTGTCCTCTCATACAGTTGTGAAATATGGCCGTTGGAAGTAGAATATATGAAGAGACTATAGGTTTTTGACGACTGGTGTCTTCATATCATTTCTAACATATGATGAAATCGTGATGTTAGCGATATCTAAGTCAAGTAATGATTACTCACCAAGAAGGGCAATACGGTCAATGAGGTTGTAAATCTTCAGTGAGATGTGTTGCACATGCTGAGCTACCCCATACCTTGGCGTGCAATACTAACCGAAGGAATGGATTAAGTTAGAAGAAGGCTCAGTGTGACCAGACTATAACATGGCACTGAGCTATTCGATCTGCGAGTAACCTCCTATAGGACTAGATAAGGTACATTGATTGTTCACTGCAGAATAATCAATATTATATTTTCTTGTCCTAAGTACTGATCGAATTCTCTGGATCTAATTCATAATATGATAAGCAAGTTAGGCAATTGTATATCATGATGTACTTTGACTCTTACTATAGAACTGAGTGACTTATTATTTTAATCTCTCAAGAGATATTAGTTTCGTTAATGATGGGAAGATACGTCTTGCCTGACGACTGGTGACAAGCAAGGAAACCTAGATGTAGCGCAACTTTTGTTCGACTGACTCAATCCAACTGATTTATAATGCTCACTTTCTTAGCTGTTACTCTGTAGTAATCAATCAATGAGCATAGATTTCCTTCTGCCTAGGATTTTATAGTTCTTATTTGTTTTCTATTAAAGATCAATCTACCCTCTTCAAATTGCATTATCTTTCATTACATAAAGAATGATGGGTCAATTAAATTGTGTTTATGTGTGTGTTTATTTTTCTCCGCTCCTTTATTCTACGCTGTTTTTTGTTTTCTTTTAGATAACACAAGAGAAACAAGATCTTCTCTCCAACCTTTTTGAAGCACATAATGCATTAATAAATATTTTATCAATATGGAAATCAAGTAATGGCCAGTTATGCCAACGTTTAAATGAATATATCCAAGAGAATGTTAATGAAATTGTACGTTTAGCTAAACAATTGAATCATCTAGCTAATGGACGTAAATTAGATCTATCCGAGTTATTAATACAACCAAAACCGTTAACGAATAGTATTAGTGATATTCTTGTCGACAGTGGAAGAGTAGACGAAGAAATAACAGCTGATCATAAATCTACTGAAGACTTATCATTGTCTTTATTACAACCAAGAAGTGAGTTAGCAGTTGTTTCTATCATTTGTATTGTTTAGTTTACTCTATTTTGTGGTGGTTCACCAAAAAATTCCTGGTAGATCAAGAATACACAGATGATATAGAGTCCTGTTAGGTTAAGATGCTGACAAGATTCAAAGTATTGTGGACATCTTGAATGTCAATTTGACAATGTTTGGGGGTGCATTGCTTGTCATGGAAATCCAAATTGTTGCTGCAGGAATGGTGTTTATTACTCCTCTGTGTAGTAATAAGGAGTGACATCGCTGTGTGCATTGACGACTTCACCTACCTTGGAAGTCTGATCAGCCATAGTAGGTCAGTGGCCGATGAAATCTCTGCTCCGATACGGAATGCTCACTTGGCTTTCGCCAGTCAATGCCATCGCCGTTATTTCCGATTGCGTACCAGGTCCTAAGTGCATTGTGAAACAGTTAACTATTTTCTACTTTATGGCTGTGAGATTTAACCATTAAATGTAGAGGATATGAGAATGTTACAGGTGTTTGACCACTGTTATCTTCGTAACTATATATCATGGTGTCACTAAGTGAACCTTTATCGGATCAAGTGGCTGGGACATGTATTTCGCATGCTTAGTCACCGCCTATGTTGTCGCCAAATATTAGCTGAATTGGGTTTAAGCTGGGAAAGGCTTAGCGTGGCTAGACTGAAGAGTGGCATCACCAGAGGAAATCTTTGACTGTGGATCTGAAACGTTCAGAAGAATTTAGACTTCACTGTTGGAGTGTGCACGACAACAGAAACCAGTGGTTGGGAAAGAATAATGATCAAACCAAATAATTGACCTTTTTGATTTGTTCCAGTGGAAACACCAATCATCTCCAACCAATCTGATGTCTTTGGATTTTGTTCCTCATATGCTCATATGCTTACTTCCTCACATATTATGAACTTGTTTTCAAGTATTTGCTGACTATGAGACTATCCTTTGTATAAACTTCTACAGAAGAAAGTGTTATTCATTCAATTAGGCTTCACATTCATGAAGAGATATTTGTTAAACGATAATGACTGTCATTTGAATCTTGTATGTTTCAACCACATGTAATGTTGAGATGTTCCACCCGCTAAACGACAGCTGCATAGTCAGCGAGAATCAAACGACTATCGGTCTACAATAATTCCCTCAATTAGTGGATGCAACTGAATTCACTGAGTATCAGAGTAGGTAACCATTGAAGAGGCACTGAAGCAGATTGCACACCTTCTTTCATCCACTGTACAAGAACCAATAGTAGTCCATTGTCACACCACGTAATCATATTTCCAATCACACCATATCTGAGATCATACAAATTGAGTATTAGACTGTGTAACTGACTAGGTGATATCGCATGATAGGCTTCAAGAGGAGAGCAACTATCTTGCGTTTAGGCAATTGTTTAGAATGTTGACTGGTGCGGTCTAAATATTCTCTCGTACTCTAACCGCTAATGAGATTTGTTCATGGTTATTGACTAATATGACTGACCTCAAATTGTTAAGTGATTACAGGATTTGTGTGTCCTCACTCAAAGCTTACAAACGCATCAAGCTAGCTTGTGTTGATGTTGTTGAGGAACAAGGCGTAAAGTTTTGATTACAAAGGTGTGTCATCTTTCTGTCACTGAAACTTAGTTGGATTTGGAGCGTGCCTTTACACTTATACACAGAGAAGGCTACATCATTGAGGAAATTTTTTTGACACCTGGAAAAATTGGTTTCATTAGCATTCACTAGTGATGCATCTGTGCTGACTGAAATTCTGGTAGGGAGACAGTTTGAAGAAGGGCTGCTATGTGGTGAAGTACCGGGATGGATGATAGAGAAAACCCCTTATCACCAGGTGAAGTTGCGTAGTGTCAGGGAGGAAGAGCTGTGATTGAAAAGATTATCCTCACATTTCATCAGTTTGCGTGTTGGAGATCCTCCGTTTGAAGAATTTAGCAAGCGAAATAACTCTGAAATCCCTTCAAGTTTCAGAAAGTTTTTAGAATTGTCAGGTCAACCAACGCAACGAAAAAATGTCCTATGTTGCTGAGTTACCTATTTCTATACCTTATGTAGTGACAGTTTTAGGAAATCATCGAATGAATGCAAACCTTCCTATCATCAGTGTAAACTAGTACCGGGTATGATTTTAACTGACTTAGAGATGGATACCTATGCTGCATGTACAATAACCTCTAAGAAAGCTGCTGACTCAATATTCATTAACCCAGCACCAAGGTTACAGCTATAGACTGTTAATAAAGCAAAGATGCAATTTGTTGGTAAGGTAAAGATTTCGTAGGAATGAGAAGATGGTCAAGAAGTACGTCAATATCTGGTAGTAGATAATCTTGTGTGGGTTTTTGCACTGTGGTAAAACGTAATCCTGTTGTAGTTACATTCTCATATGCATCACACAGTTAAAAAGAATTATCTACTGATGACGTTCCAAGCAGATTTTATAGCTCAACATAATATAAACGCGATCAAACAACACTCTGGTCTAGGTTTATACTTCTACTATTTTCGTCTTTTCTAGATGTCTTATCTTATTAGGATCTGGTATTCTATGTCTAGCGAGATTTCTACATTCTACTAGCCTAATTGACCTGGATCAGCTAGCTTGACCTCATTTATATGACCTCACAATCACTACATTTAGTTTGACAGCGAATTATTTTGTTATTGATATTGGATGATGTTTGAAGGCAATAGTGAATATACCTAGATCACAGTTGCATCCCAACTAACCAATCAGTATCATCACGATTGAAAGACAATTACGTATCATGGATGATTTAGATATCAGCTAGATAAAAACTTTGGTGAATACAATGAAGTGAAGATTTAGTGGTTAGTAGGTTGATCTCCTCACTTTCCCAAAGTCAGCTGGCCCCTATCCTGTTGCAATCTCAGTCTTCATTCCATCTTCAATCATCAACCAATACTGGGTTTGTTTTTAATTGATAACTTCTTCACATAGTATTGTAATCACTTGGTAATACCTTATTATAATATTTACTAGATGCTGATGGTATTGATGCAAATGAATCATGGCAAGATTCATTCTACAATGCTATTCAAACAGCATCACAATTATCAGACAATATTAATGAAGAACAACTTCATAATTCATTGGGCCAATTAAAAGAAACACGAACAATGCTCTTGGAATTACGTCAACAGCTTGCCAGTAAGTACGCAGATCATTTGGGTGGGAAAATAGATTGTACTATCCAATGATGGAAAAACGACTCATACTGTAAATAACTTGGTTGTAATTAAATATGCTCTATGTATTTTAATACATTTCTCTTTTATGAAATGAGCACCCGCTAAACGATGAAGTAAGTGGGTCAGAAAATCTGATGAATGTTTGGCTGTTGACTGACTAGATCAGATCAGAAAGCATTTCATTATATGTTAATTCATCTAAAGAGTATATTACTTTCTTCAATATGGATTGTTTTCAGGTTAATCAGATTTACAGATCCAGATTTGTTGTTTGAGGATAGGAGGCTGTGAGCCTATATTAATCCTTGCCCATTGGATTTCTGTGCTTTTCCAATCCCCTTTTGAACGAGTCAGTTGATGATGCGGACACCACTTCTTCTAGGAGTCGGTTCTAGGCGTTGATTACTCGATGTGAGAACCAGTACTCTGCGGAGACCATGTTCGTTTTTTTGCTTTTGTGGCCTCTTACTATGTCCTCTGAGGTGTACCAACCTATTGAGAATGCGAAGATAAGATAAATCAGGTCCAAAGTCGTTTTTTAGAATTCTGTATAGCATGATTAGATCTCCACCTTGTCTATGATAGGATAAAAAGAAGAGGTTCAACTCCTTAAGTCGATCTTCATAGATTAAATCAGCCATCTCAGTGATCACACTGGAAGCTGCCCTCCGAACTCTTTCCAGAAGGTCTGAGTCACCTTCCAGATAATGATTTGACGCCTGTGTACAGTTTTCTAATTAAGACCTAATTTACGATGTTTATAAGATGGCGAATATATCACCATTTATTTTTGTAAACTTTCTGCGTAATGCCCAAAGTATTCAAAAACTCCGAGCTGCTACGAATCGACAGTGTGCTTTGGTTTCCAAATCATAACTCAGTGTGACTTCCAGGTCATTATGGGTCAGTACTGATGGTAGAGGATTCCTATCAGTATCGTAGGTGTTGCTATTTGTGTATCCCAAGTACATGCTCACACACCTACCTATGTTGATGGGCATCAGCCACTTCTCTGATCAGGTAAACAAGCTGTTTAGGTCTGCCTCAAGTCCACGTATATCCTCATCATTCCTAATTTCCCACTAGATTTTTACATCATCAGCGTAGAGAATCATAGGGAATTTCGTGATATCTGCCAAATCATTTATGTATAGGAGAAATAGCAGGGAACCCACAACCGTGCCGTGCAGCACCCACTCTGGACCGACTTGCCAGAGGATAGTTGAGAATTGACCCTTATTCTTTGTCTCCTACCAACGAGAAACTTTTATCCATGTGAGCAGAATGCCAGTGATTCAGAAACTTTCCGATGTCTCGAACAACCTGGAATGAGGTGCCTTGTCGAACGCCTTACTAAAGTCTATGAAAATGATATCTGCAGTTATCCTACCATCTTTAAACTTAACCCAACTTTCTCTGACTGTAAGTGGGTTCGTCAAGGAAGAGGAGTTTCTGCGAAAGCCATGCTGCGGACGAGACAATAGAGTGCTGCTCTCTAAGTGAACTGTGATAGCTTTCTTGATTACTCTTTCTAAGATTTTTACCACAGTAGAAGGCAAACTTATCGGCCTGTAATTTGATGGGTGCTGCCTAGAGTCTGCGTTGTAGATAGATGTGACTATGGCTTCCTTCTAGTCATAAGGGAGTGTGCCTTCACTGAGTGACAGTCTAAATATGGTAGTCAGTGGACCGGCTACATAGAGCGCAAGCTTTCTGAGCAGCCTTGGGTGCGGCTGATCCGGCTCCGTTGATTTTTCCACGTCGAGATTACTTAATATCCGAAATACATCACTGCGATCGATATCCACAGAAGATTCCTGTTTAAAGACCTCAGCAAAATATCCAGCTATAGCTTCTGTTTTTCTCTATCGTCATCAATCAAGCAGTCATTTTCTGTCCCATTGATTAGGGCGGGTATACCACGACACGTCTTATTCCTATAGTTCATATGAGAAAATGAACTCTGGTTGTTCCAATGCAGTCTGGGCTAGACATGCCTCAAAGCATGTTCGACACTGGCGGATAGCAGCAATACATTTATTTCGAACTCTTTTTTAATGCTTCATTACTTCGGGAGTACCGAGGTGGGTGGCAAGACTCCAACACTTTTCCTTACATCGTGGCAAGATTCCGGGTTTATCCACGGAGGACAATGTTCCCATCCCACCGGAACAGTCCAAGGAATGAACCGTTGAGTCACTTGTGCATATAATTGTTTGAAGAAGCACCATACGGCTTTGATTGATGCTTCTAAATTGACTGTCCAGTCCTCTGAAGAGGCTGTTAGAATAATAGCTTCCACATTCGATTTCTATTTGTTGGACTTAGCTGGAGCATCGGTGTTGTTCTCAACCGATGTTGGCTAGTCCTGTGTTTCAGTTTTATGTGGGTTAACAACGCTTAGACACTACTTGATTCATGTCATATCACGTGGTCATGGATTATCATGCTGAGTGTAAGATTGAGATAGTGGAGATTTGTAGCTCAGATGACTACTGTTGTTCGGTTTCGGGCATAATTTGAGCTATATTCCTGGATGTTTGATTATAAGGCTAGGCAGATTCCTGAGCGTTTACACCATGTCAAAGAATCTCCCTTTTTTCTTAATTTTCACCCTAACCGATGTCAACTGGAGCACCAGTCGGTAACAAACGTTCACATTCACCTGATCCACTCATCTTATTTACTCATTTTATCAACAAAATCACAAATTATATAGTAATGATGGATAGTGGCCAGCAGTGGGATCCAGGAAGCGCATTTCGTCCTGTTTGGGACTCTTCAACTAGATGTACCTACCTCCCAGAGAGTAAAGTTGTTCCCATTGGGATTCGAAGTTGTGAGCGATCGCTTCAAACGCAAAAGCGTTATCCACAACACTACCAAGTCACGTTATACACCGTCGTTGAGTGGACCGAATTGAACAGTCTCTGTTGGCATATTGACTCTTGTTCGGATGCCTCGATATTGCCAACGTTCTTAACTACGTAGTAATGATGGATAGTGGCCAGCAGTGGGACCCAGGAAGCGCATTTCGTTCTATTTGGGACTTATCAGGTGGATGTACCTGCCTCCCAGTGAGTGATGTTCTTACCCTTGAACAAGCATTGTTTACTTTTGCAATGTACCTGCCTGTTAACATCATCAACAACTGCCTATGCTCAATACTGAAGATCAGATGGCCAGAAAGAATAAGCGACAAGGAACGAACCAATCAAGAACCTATCGCCCAAAAAATATGCAGAAGAAAGTGGAGATGGATTGGGCATACACCATGTGGGGACATCACGCATCAGACCCTCAAGTGGAACCCAGGGGGGAAACGACGAGTTGGGCGTCCGAGGCAAGGGTGACATGGAGGAGATCATATGAGGAAGGAATGAAGGCTTGTGGGCAGTCGTGGTGCAAGGTTGAAAAGACTGCAGAGAACAGAGTGGAGTGGGGGGGTGCTACTGAAGCCTACAAGGAACCCAAGGGAAAAGTAATGATGATTGAGTCTTCATCAGAATAAATCCCAGGTTTTGCCAGGCAGATCTAATACTCTCAAGGTCTATGAAGCTTGAATTTCCGTTTGTTTTACATACTGCTTGCAACGCTGACGTTTTTCTGTCCACCTTTTCATTAATTTTACCTAGGCTTTCATTCTCGCCCGTTTGTTTTATCTTCTTCAAGGTAAGTATCGTTGGGGAATCATGCTCCCTTCTACTCCAAGCAAAATGTTAGGCCACATCATCATGGAGAGACTACAAAACGCTCTGGATTCAAAACTAAGACCGAAACAGGCTGGCTGGCCTCAAGAAGAACAAATCATGTGTCCGACAAACTGTAATGCTACGCATCACCATAGAATGGCAGTCAACTCTTTACCTCAAATTCATCGTCTTTGAAAGGTCTACGATAGCGTCGACCGTGAAGTAATTTGGCGGCTGCTTCAACACTACGGAATATCACAAACCTCTATCAACCTCATTCAACAGCAGCTATATGATGCTACATGCGAAGTAATTCACAGTGGAAAGCTCAGTGATGCCTTTTGAAGTTCGGACAGGTGTAAGACAAGCGTGCAGCCTACTGTCACCGATGACCTTCCTGATTACGGTTGACTCGACTGGACCATACAACAAACTGTGAGGAACGATGAGATGTGCATACACCGTTTGACCTATGAAAAGAGCCTAGAAGATCTGAATTTCACCGATGATGATTTATGTCTGATGTCGCACAAGCTGGAAGATCCACGGGCGAGAACTAACAAGTTGGCAGAAGAGGTGAGGCAGCAAAGGAAGACGAGACTGCCTTTAGGTGCACGTAGAGAGAGAAGATAGAGGTGGTGAAGATACCCGATCCACAACAACAAGCATCGATCACCCTCAACGGGAGAAATATAAAGGATATTGTCTCTTTCATCTGCCTGTCTGCCTAGGCAGCATGTAGTTGTACAGGCGGTGGCTCGGATGAGGGTGTAAAACCAGGATCGGAAAGACAGCAAGACAGGTCTTTTTCAATCTGAAATCAGTGTGGAGGTCTACTGCACTGCACTCAGCATAAAGCGTGAACAAGATTTGGATTCCCAACTCAAATGTCAGTCAAGTCAGTGCTTCTATGTGGTGGTTCACAGGCTTGGCGCTTTACGAAAGGCATTTCCAACAAACTGCACACACGTCATCAATCGCCGCCACTTTCGCTTGCTCCATACTGTTGATCAGAAGGCGAGAAAGAATAAGCAACAAAGGACTCTGGCCTAGCAACCAAGAACCTATCGCCCAACAACTATGCAGGAAGAAGTGGAGATGGACTGGATTGGACATACATTGAGAAGACCGTTTTTGGACATCACGCACCAAGCCAGGCCATCAAGTGGAACCCAAGGGGAAACAAAGAGAATAGCATGCGACGGTGACACAGAGGAGATGGTGTGAGGAGGAAATGAAAGCTTATGGGGAGTGGTGGAGCCAGGTTCAGAAAAGTGAAGAGAAGGGAGTGAAATGTCAACGCGATACTAAAGTCGT